ATATATATATATATATATATACATATATAATTTTTATTTTTTACTAAACAAACAAAAAATCCCTGGAAAAATTTGTCTATTCATTAGCAGCCTTGACAAAGAGTTAATTTTGGACTTTGCCTGCAACCTTTACAGTATGTGATCCGTTTAATTTTTTATACACTGTTGCAATGTTAAAGAGCCTTAAATCTTGAAAGGAAATGCAATGCAAAGCTAAGTTTCAGTAAACATCTCCATAGCAGGAATGCTTTTGACACCACATGCTACAGCGGCTACCAAAGCTAACCAACCAACATGAGAAACACGTAATTCTGAGCGTGAAAGAAAAAAAAGACGCTGATGATCAGTCTGCCAGTAGCAGGTGCGGCTCGATTCAAATGCCTGTCAAAGCTAATGTATGCTAATCAGCTGTTGGATTTGCCTTTTTTGGCTGTCACACGTAATGAAAGACAAGAATATGTCATCAGACACATTTTTTTCCCCTCTTGCAGAATTATCAAAGCATGAAGGTGGTGGTGGGCCATTCAGATGAGGAAGAGAGAGAGAAGAGGCATCACAAAAAATCAGAAAACAACTGCACAGCCCACGTGGTGGATCATGACAGCAGTCAAGTGAATAACTCAAGAAGGGGAAGCTTTGCAGAATATTGATTTAATGCTGCATTCATGCAGGGAGGATGCTCACCCGCATTATGCACGCTCTAATACTCCCCAGCATACCTTGGGCCTTTGGTTTTCCGAGCCACTCGGAGAAAAAAGAGGCTGGAATATTCCTCTCGCATGAGCATTTAAGCACAATTCAGTGTCTCCGAATCGAAGCGTGAACTGAATCGATCAAAATCCAAAGAATAGTGTCTCCTATGGTGGAACGCCATGTGATTAGCGCTCATTTTGTGGAAAATAGGGTGTAACTGAGGAAACAAGATGGCTTTATGAAGCATCCCGATGAATTGTTGGGCAATACTGTGTTTAATGGCATGTGGAACATTTATTCAATTAAAATTACTCAGGGAGTGAAGGATATATGATATATGTGAATGGAAGTGGCTTACAGGTGCTGAAATGCACAAACAAACAGGTATCTTATGAAGAATGTGTCAGTCTTGAGAATAAAGGAACATTGAATATTATTTAAATTGCATTTAAAGCAAGATATTATAGCCATCTGATGCATTTTTGACACATAAATAAATAATGAAATAAATAATGAAATAAAATTAAAATTAACCATTCAGGATGTGTTACAACGAAATGACGGTGATTTACTTTCTTTCTTTCTTTCTTTCTTCCTTTTCCTTTTTTATTAAGGTTTTTATTGCATTCATTTAAACATTTGGATGAAATCTCATATAATATATATTAACAACTGAGTACATTAAAAGGTGATATACTTTTGACTCTTTCTCATAATTTTATATATATAATAACTGTCCTTATGTCACTTTGATTACATAAATTTAAAATTTTTGATGAAAATGGCACCCCAAATAT